CTGTAGGGGTTAGGGGTTACGGTAGGGTTTGGGTGATACATATGAGCCACTGTCAAGATTAGCTTTCTTAAGGGATCCAGAATGATAGGGTTTAGGGATTGAGGGTTTGGGGTTTTGGGTCTACATGGGCTACTGTTTATATTAGCTTTATGAAGGAACCCTTAACAGTGGACGTTTGTAGATGAGTATAGTCCCTAATAGAGTCCCTAAGAAATAATCCATGTCCATTGAATGCTGTGGATAGCTCATATGATTGAAGGTCTTAGGGCTTCCGGTTATAGGAAAAACACACATTGGGATATAAAGGGGTATACAGATGTATAAAGGGATTAGTATACTGTTTTAAGGAAGGGATTTAGGGCTTCGGGTTTAGGTTAGGGTATATGGGTATATAGTATATTGAGTTATAGGAGAAAGAGAGAGAGAGAGAGAGATAGGTAGAGGAAGAGAGGGTAGGGTAGGGATACAATTCTAAAGCGTAACCAATTATGAAGGAAGAAATGGACGGACAATCAAAACCATGAGTTGGAAGGCGGCAATATCTGGTGGTTTATTAGTAGGGAAAATGCAAGCTACCCCCGGATAATACCCATCAGTCCTTGAATTCAACATGATTCCCATAGATCAGACTACGTACTGTTTCGTAATTTGCCGACCTAGATGGAGACTGGTGGAGCCTTGGGTTTAGGATCTGAAGAGGAATAGCTGGAATATCCTGGGCAGGGTGTGGGTTTAAAGTTTAGAGCAAACCGCATAAAAATGTGGTACCGGCATCTAGACAGTCTATGAGAACCCCTATATAACCCCAGCTATATAACCCCTATAATCCCTATAGTTTCCATCTCTTTTCCATTATCCCCATATAGTCTCTATATACCATCTGCTTCACAAGGTGTTGTTCTCGGCATGAGGGTTTAGGATTCAGGGCTCACCAGATTTTTGGAGTATCATTCGCACATGGAGCGCTATTGAAGAGAGGCAAACGAAGCGCCACTACAGTTGTCATAGACTAACTGAGGAAAATACGTCTACTTCTTCAGACTTGTACGATGGACACTGACTTCCATGGACAACCGAAGCACTCCTCGTACACCACGCGGAAGCTTACAGCTACAGGAAATCCTGCACGCGCATGTGAAGTAAACCAGTGCGGAGGTGTTGAAGTGCTGCTGTATCGTGAACTGATCTCTACAGAAAGTGTTGTTTCTTTGTTGTTTAAAGGTTCTGCGCAGGGCGTCAGGTGTCAGTGCAAGCTAGGTTGCCGTTTCTTGGGCATTTTGTCTGCGATATACCTTGTAGTATAAACAGGAAACCAGAGTTGCGTGAAGGGTGAGACTTCCAACGACACACCAGCTGGTGAAGCAGTTTGGATGTATGATTGCCCTGTTCATGAAAGCTGTTGCATGGCATGGCTGTCTGTTGAACATGATTGCAAGCCCTTGTCCTAACTTACGAAACCAGACTGCAGGACTGTTGCATGGATTTGTTTAGGCTTTCTGTAGAAATTTCGAAATCATGCCTCTAAGCAAGCCCTCGTCTCCCTTTCTCAGCACTAGCGGGATGAATCCTGTTGTGGTTTTGATTCATAGTCCCCCTCAAGTAGATGGAATATGGCTTCGGGTAGATTTCAATAAGATCCCCATATACCCCATATTCTATCTACTTACGGGGGACTATGGCTTCATCAGATGCGTTGCCAGGATGCTGTGCCGGTGAACCTCCGTGCAACAACTCTCGCAGAGATTGCGACAGTGGATCGTCACTTGGCGGCAGGGGAAACGGTAGGTTGTCAGAATTATGGTCACTTTCGGGGTACCTGAACAAATTAGAGTCAGAGGCAGTTTCACAATGGGGTACCGAAAAGGGACCGTAATTCTTACCAAATGGTAACTTCGGGACCGTGGAACCAGATCCCCAGGCTTACGTAACCGCTGTATTCCTAGACCCTCCACCTACCCTCTGTTAGGGCCTAAGTACCTACAGGGGCCATATATCCCCAACTGGTACTAGGAAGGTCTTTTGGAGTTTCAGGCCTAGCTTGAGTTGCCTTCCTTCAGCAGAGCATGCGCAAGTGAGAAAGATATCAAACTTGCTTTTCATGGCGAGGTCAGACATTTGGGATTTATGGGGTATAGGGTTTATAGAACTGCTATAAGGTTCATGTCCTGAGTTTGGGAATTTTTGTGCTGCATTTAAGCCCTGTAGAATTTCCATGTCTTTTGGGGCTTGAAGGTTTAGGGCTTAGGGTCTAGGGTGGGATTTACAGGATTTCGGGTTTACGGTCCCACCACGGGAAACCATAGTCCTTTTCGCATATCGATGCCATGTGAGTGGTATTTTATTTGGGGATACTATGGTACCCACTATAGAGTAAGATTTTATCGTCCTTTTGGTGTATAGTATTTCATATAAGGAATATAATCTTACTGGGTTTAACCACCAAAAAAAGCACTACTCATGTGAACTTGGTCTCTTCCTTAACAGCAACCCACAGCCTCTAGACCCTAAGCCCTTGTCGCCGGAGCCTACCAAGGGCCCTTGTATTTTTACTATGTTCCTACCCCTAGGGGTCCAAGGACCCAAATAGCAGGGCTTTAGGGCCCAAATACTAAACTATTAATGGTATTTGGGCCCTAAAGCCCTATTCTTTGGGTCCTTGGGCCCTTAAGGTACCATGTTCTTGGGGTTCCCTGTTTGGGGTTCTAAGCAGTCGGCAAACCTGGGAGTTGCGCCGAGGCTACACTGAACTTACGCCCAACTCCTACAAGGCTGGACCAATGATTGCGCTCATCCTCTTGGGAGATATAGGCATGTATTCTAGTAGAATATCGTTATATTGGGGCAAATATAGATATACGTATACAGTGGCTGCTTCAGGCAAGGGACCTGTGACACGTGGAAATCTGCCTCAGCATGGTGGATGGCAATTGTCTTTAAATCTGCTGAGGTAGCATAACTTGGATTCACAAACTTAGGGGAGCTTAGACTATGGCTCATGTGTTGCCCTGTATATCCTTGAGAAGTCAAGCTTCTGTAACCTTACAGGATCTGTCATGCCTGCAACACTGGCAAGCGGAAGCCTGATCAATCAACGGCTGGCCCCTGTGTGTACCACTGTGTGTATGGTACTAGGCACGGAGTGTTAACGTTGTGCAAAGGTCTGTTTACCATCCGGTGGCCGATCCCACATGTTGCTTTCCCGTCCCGCTTCGGTTTCCCTCTGCATCAGATAGTTAGTTTGGTCAGGAAAGTTGAGTTGAACGGCAATTTTTGATTCCCTACTAAACTTGGACCATCGACGCCGACCGCAACTTCAACGACGATGACCGCACCAAAGAGGAGAGCTGCATTCTTGCCCGTGTTTAGGTAAATGTGCTCTTTGTCTGACTGTGCTGGGTTGTCGCGGACATGTGAGCCATAGTCTACACTCCAGGTATCCCCCCTATTAACCCCTATAGTAGTCCCCTATATAATTCCTTGTTTTGAACCCCCTAAGGAGTTTAAAGATTATAGCTCAGATGTGGTCTTCTGCAAGTGGGACGGCTTGTAGCATCGTGCTCACTATGACTTACTCTGAAGAATGAGCCATTAGAGATGTTCATGTTACTGGTTGCTAGTTGGGAATAAGGGAATTTAATCCCGATATATCATATTCCTTTATCCCCTACTGAGACCCAGTAAGTAATGGCCATTTCTCTGCCGCAATGCTCCGCTAAGGCACAAGTTTCGCGCCCATTCATGATTGCTAGTTCTGGGCAAAAATGGAAGTACTGCCTTATAAACCCTGAACCCAAACCCCTTAAAGGATCCAACAAACGGAGCCCCTCCCCCCAAAAATGATCCCGTTACTAAATTTGAGGAACCTAAGGGATTAAAGGGACGCGCAACTTTTTGGATCCTTTAAGGGGTCTGGGAATCGAAGCTGGGTGAGTGAGATGTTGCTTTCGACTTACCTGCCAAAACTAAATGGGTTTTAGGGTTTAGGGTGAACAATGAAGTTACTACCATATTGTGGCCATGCAGTAAATGATTGGGCTTTCTCGCCATGCTAACTACCCAAGGGCTCCAATGTAGTTCCTTTTCGGGTTTGTTATGGTTTTTGTGTAAGGGATTATACTATACCTAAACCCCAAAAGTATGTGAAATAATAGCCCTAAACCCACAGTATTCGCCATAAAGGCCATTGTTTTTGCATACTTTTGGGGTCCAGGTACTACCCAAAAAGGAACTACATAGGAGGGTCTGGGTAAACTTAAGTTGAGTAACATCAACCCAGAGGATGGGAGTTGCATGGTGTGTTCTGGCACAGCAGATATGAGGCCTGAATTTCTGCCTACCCAGACGGTCCCAGTACTCACTAAATAGGTACTTGGGTTTTGGGTCATAGTAATTATAGTACAGGTTTTTAGGTAAGTATATGATTATTGGGTTCTTGGACCCGTAGGGCTATGTATCCATGATTAGCAGCGCATGTCCTAGGTCCTAGGTTGCAGATTCACAAGGTTGTGCAACCCTGGCTAGGGTTTGCAGGAGCCGGTAGTACACATTATGAGCTTTGCACGGGATATAGTCCCTCTTTAGTAGATAGAATATGGGGCATATGGGGATCTTATTATAATATGCCGAAAGCCATATTCTATTTACTTAAGGGGGACTATATTTGATAAACCCAGTTCCGATCTTATGATGCCAATCTCATTCCAGCATTGCAGGATCCTCTCTCGTGAGTCGTTTAATAATAATTAATGTCCAATTTGTGAGTACTTTTTGGGTCCCCTGTCTCTGTAAAACAAGCTTCCAAATGGCAAACGCCACGCGGTGAAGGATGCATCGTTGTCGACTGCGGCTGCGGAAAATTCGCCAGGGCCCTGGAGGTGCATCCATTATACCTGCCTTGCTCTGCTGCAACTGACACGTAGCCTCCAGGACTTGCTGCCGCGTGCGATGCATGTCAGAGTGACAAGTTTCGGCTCGAAAGTTTTTGCTGTGGTGCGATCAGGATGGAGCCCGAGGTGTATACTTACGAGCGCTATGCCGCCTTGGCAACACAGGAGTCCACCACAGGACTTTCCAATCTGACATGGTCAATCTGCACCATGTCTGAATCAGAGCTGCCAAAGGCACGAACTTTGCCAGGAGTGCCTGGGTTGCTGTTAAGGAACTCAAAAAAAAGTTACTATATAGGGGAAACTTCATTATTTAGTACATATACCCATTATGGTAACTTAATGCAAGGTCCTTAACAGCAACCCAGGTGCTGCAGATCGGACAGGCTGGCACTTGGGTGGAGTATAAGGCGGTAACAGTACTCAGACGGTTTGACTCTGCTTCCAGGCCCTGGCTCTGCAAGTTGCATTCCATAAAGGGCCCCGAGCAACCGGAATACATCCTAAAGCCGGAGGATGTGGGTCGCGAAGCTTGTGTCATGAATATAGCTTCGAGGCTGAACTCCATCTGGCAGGAATATCAAGTGCAATGCTGTGGCCAAGCCGTGTATGTCAAGATATACCGAATCTTCCCTGTTGGACCTGACATGGGAGTCGTGGAAGCGGTCCCTAACGCCAAAACTTTGCAAAAGCTGAAGCGAGACTGCCCGACTGGCAGCCGGAGGCGAGAACGAGTGCTTCAGTTCCTGCAGTGGGACGAGAGTAAGTTGAACCTCCTTGCTGTCACCACAGCAGGGCTTCTGGCCATGTCATATATGTTTGGTCTTGCAGATGGCCATGGTGACAACTACATGGTCACTGCTGATGGTGAGTACTTTCGTATAGATTTTGAGCACACCTTTGGCCAGCACCCCTCTTCAGCTGACGCTCCACGCCTTTGGTTGCCAAAAGCGGTGCGAGTCGCACTAGGCGATCGCTTGGAGGATGTGATTTGCGCTGCGCAGGAGGCGGTCGAAAAACTCTTCGTCATACACGAGGAACTTCGAAGTCTCTGCCAGGCGGGATGGAGGAAGGGAGACATGTCAACTGTTGTTATAAAGCCGCTGAAATACCAGATCCGAGGAGGCTGAGTTAGGCGCGTGGAGCCAGAAACCGGAACGGTAGAAGGATGTGCCAGGGTACTATTAGGGTTATATAGGGATCATATTCAGATAATGGAGAATCAAATGGAAAATAAAATGGACAATATATTGGAAAATGTGGAAAATGAAATGGAAACCCTAAGTCCTTTTAAAGCCGTTACATTGAGTTATTTGGGCATTGTTCTATCGACTGTCTTCACTAATTACTTTGGTTCGTACCTGACGAGACTAGCAGCCTTGGCAGTGCTTCAGCCTGATTACCTTTCAAACTGGGTGTCCTTGAGATCCATGGCGCATGCTGTCGAGGCATGTGTCTGTTTGCATGCGGTAGTGTCAATAATGTATCTCTCTTCATGCTGACTTAAAATCGACATGAATTGTTGATTCAGATTGCGCGTTGATGCAAAACCGTAGGATTCTGTGAAGAGCACTTGCTTACTCGTGCCTCTGTTTTGCGTCGCAAGGCATTCACTTCTCGTATGCTCAGAAAAAGGTGTCTAACTCCTGTCGTACCTACACTGGCGCCGTTTTTCCAAGTATGTCCTGATCCATTCCTCCGGCACGATGACAGACCGTAGTTACCCCAAACAAATGTGTGCTGAGAGCCTGAATGAATGGCGCAAGCTCATTCAAGAGCTAAGTAGGTCATACCAGTTCGCAGGTGATGGATATGGCTTTTCCACAGAAGCAAGGCGCTGTGGAGTATCTTGCTCAGTTGAGCCTTGAAGAATTCCGCAGGGAAGTACAAGGTGTTCGAAGCTGCTCATGGGGCAAGCGCCTAAAGAGCACCTTCCGGGCTCTTGGCTATGGCAGGAGACGAGATGTCCGCCATCGTCCGATGCTGAACGTTCAGTCCCCGGCGGCTTTACTGTGTATTTGTAGGCGTTACCCTGCAGAGTCAGCTATGGATCTGAAGGAATTTGCAGAGCGCTTGTATTCAACGTCCAGCTTACCGCGCTTGGTCCATTTTGAGGATGCCAGCACTCTGATTGCCAAGCTGTTCCTTAACAGCAACCCAGGAAGAGGTCAAGACGGCATATTGGCAGCTCGCGCACAGGTGGGCTAGTGCCAAAGGATGCGCAATCCATCCTTTGGAGTCCGGGGAATTGGTTGCTGCTTAGGGTTTAGGGTTTAGGATTGAGGGTTTAGGTTTTAGGGTTTCGTGTTTGGGGTTTAGCGTTTAGGTTTTCGTGTTTGGGGTTTAGGGCTTAGGGTATATACTTGGAGGTTCATAGGGTTTACTAACTACTTATATAAAGCTGGGCTTGTAACCGTACTTATAATGGGGGGGGGTATTTCCCTGTGAGGCAATTTGGGGGAGTTGTGAGTAGGGTTATAAGCCCAGGTAAAAGTAGTTTGCTACGTCCCATGAACCTCCACGTAAGTTCCCAAAACCCTATACCCTAGACCCTAGACCCTAAACCCTATATACTCTAAACCCTAAACCCTGGTCGTGAAGACGTAAAGGCCCGTTTCAAAAACAACCTGAACCCTTCCGCGCCGCAGATACGCCGCAAGCCGAGTCGGCAAGGCCGACGACTTCCAGACCATTAGCGTCGCGTACCTGCGGGTCCTGGCCATGCTCGGGCCGACATCAGTGGCCAACCCTGTTTAGACCCTAAACCCTAAATGCTAAATCCTGAACCCTAAACCCTGAATCCTAAACCCTAAATCATGAGCCCGAAATCCTAAACCCTAAATCCCAAACCCTAAATCCTAAACCCTAAATCCTAAACCCGAAGTCCTAAACCGGATATCCTACACCCTGATTAGATCCTAAACCCATAGCTGCAAGGTCACCCCCAAGCGGATCTGTCAACACATTGGGAAACCCATGACATACGTACTATGATTTGCATTGCACATACCTTGGGGGAGGACTGTAATTCGGTGCTAGAGAAGAGCTGCGTGCCATCAGAGGGCATGGCGGCTCTAGGACAGTACTGGAGTGTTTCGCTGCAGATGCTTCCGGCATCTCCTGGTGTACATATCATATGTATATATATATATATGCTACTGGTGCTGAACGGAGTTTAGCATCAATTTTGTTCTGATTGTTGAGATATGCCTTAGGTGGACCCCCCCCCCCCCGCGCTGTAAAAGTCATGGTAAAAGTCATGATTATACGGTATAGTAAGGATTACATCAGGGGCCCATTGTATTCCTATCATGCCACTCTTGTAGGGAGGGGGGTCCTACTGAGATGTGGGCTTGGGCACTTTCCAGCTCCCAGGGCAAGCTGTGACCACGGTCGTGGGCTGCTCGAGCCTGCGCTGTCAAGGAAACCCATGCCCAGTGTCCCAAGCGTAAAACCTGTGGCGAATCTGTCTTCCTGCGCTCTTGAGAGTCATGAGGGCCAGAGGTCGTAATGACCCTGATTTGCGTTGAAGTTGGGTGAGCCTGAGCGGCTGAAGTCCTGAGGTTCTGAACAGCCTGTGCGCAGCGGCACAGCGAGGCTGTGAGAGCCGGCACATGAACAGCACCTTGAACCTAGTGGAAGTAAGGCGCAGGTGAAGGCGGTATGGAGCTAGTTCCGTTCGATCTGCAGGTTTCTTTCTAGCCTACGTACCGGACCATGATTCAAACACCTTGCAAGCCAAATATGAAAGCTGCTGGTCCTAAACCTGTCACTGCCCTCCATGACCCCGTGTTCTTCATATCCTTTCAGATGTCTGGCGTTACAGCATTGCTGAGCATGTGCTCTGCCGTGGCTCATACTTCCAGCTGCATTATAGCTCTACAGAGGCTCTGCCTTCCATTCTTAATCCTGCTCTGCTTCAATGTCCCTGCGCTAACAGGAGTAAATTTGAACGCAGCCGGGAAAGGGAACAGAAGGGATGCATGCATACAGAGCAGGAATGCAAGCAAGCAAAGGAGCAGGAGTGGAGGAGATTACAGCATTAGGTGTCCACGAATAGTAATTAATAACAACCATAGTAAGAACAAAAATGAGTAAAACGCATAGTAGTTGTAATAAGTCATAACACTAATAATACAAGGTTAATACTGTGATGATTGCTATGACGGTTTGTTGTGTCCTAAGCATGCGTATTTCTTGGAGGCACCGCACCACGAGCTGCCGGCAGAGGTTCTGTATGGCACCAATCTTAACAGCCAGGGCCTTAAACCCGAAATATGATCCACGGTCTTGGGTCCAGGGGTTTAGGTTTCAGGGCTTAGGGTTTAGGGTTCAGGGCTTAGGCGTTCCCAGCGCCACCAGCTAACGTGCTTGTGATCTGCCTCCCTATGTAGCAGCACTTCCTTCTGACATTGAAGTGCAACCCTTCCTCAACTTCCGGAGTGCTTGCGCTGCAGAAGCCAATATTTTGGGCTTAGACTGCTTGCATAATCTTACTAGGGGTTAGTAGACGATAAGGGGTTATAATCTCTAGACAATATATTCCCATATTTCCAACCAACCCATAGTAGGTAATTGTAGTATAGGGTACCTCTGATGGGTCTGAAACTAATCCCGCAAATCCACGTGGCCTCTTAGGTCTCGGAGCATCACACAGCGCCGCGCTGCCGCCAACATGCCTACAGCGCCACCAGCATTTGACGACTACCCCAAAGTTAATGACCATGAAACACACAATGGAACTCGTAGCGACACCATCCAATGTCAACTGGGGCAAGCCTTCAGAATCATAATGCGCATACACTTGCATAGCTTAGAATTGTTGAAGCCGGCGTTTTACCTTGACTTGTTCATAGCTACACGGACAATGCCAAGCTGTGAAGTGTCGGCGTCCCTCTTGCTCCCGCGGAGTCCACATTCACGCAGAGATGGACCGCCTAATGTGAGCTCAAGGGCCCTGTAATCATATGTAGCCCCGAAATGTCACAACTCTGCCCCCCGTTTTCTTGACTTCCCTAAATTCAAAAGCCCAAGCATCCACCTTGTCAGCGCTGTGCCCCCAGTGGCATGCAAGCACCAGACGCCCGGGCAGGCAGCTGTTGATGAGGCTCCCAGGCAGGAAGAGAAGTGGGAGACCGACACCCGCATGATCATCGACTTCCTGTGGCTTGTTAGTTCTGAGGATTCGCTTGCTAGGGTTTTAAGGGTTTTAGGGTTTTAAGGATCTAGGGTTTAGGTTTAGGGTCTTAAGCGTGTAGGGTTTAGGGTTTGGGCGAAGTGGTACTGAGGTTTTGTCTAGTGCGCAAGCATACGTTCATGTGGAGTCTAGATGCCTCGAAACAGCATTGACGTGAACTTATGTGCGCATAAGGGAACCGGAAGCTCTGGATAGCGCACATTGAATTCCTGTAAAACTAGATTACTATATTACTAGATAGTAAGCTAGTATAATACTCTTGTTACTATATCATTATGGTACTATGATCTTTGAAGAATACGATGATGGGTCAGAGCTGATGACTTAGAGGGTCAAGCTAAGCTTATCTTCGAGGCCCTCAGTGAACCTCAATTCAGGACTTGCTTGCTCCTGGTAAGGCTTAGGGTTGAGGGTTTTAGGGTTTAGGGGCTTAGGATTTAGGGCTGCCCGCTAGCAGGCATGTTTTATATAGATTTCGGGCAGCAAGCAGTCACGACATCACAACAACGGTTCGCCAACGTTGTGGCTTGAGCTTGACAGCGCCAGAACCAAGATCTCATGGAGCAGCACGCACGTTGGTCTTCATCTGTCTTGACATACCACTGATATATCCGTAGGGTTGCAAATAGCCCAATGTAGGCAAGTGTAGGTATTGTTTGTATACATGGATTCTTAGGGTATCTTCATCTTCCTATTGCAAACCCGGAAAATTCAGGTTACCCATGCACCAAGCTGTAAAGCATCACTATATGTCTCATTTGGCGTTTCATGTACACTCGACATCTGCAGCCACCTGGACCTAGCCATTCCTGGGGGCAGCCGGGTAGTCAATTACGCCCCTGCATCCTGTCAACCCCTGTAGAACCCCTACATCTATATCTTTTGTCGTTTCCCCTTGAAACAATTCTTGTTAAAGGTATCTCGTTGCGGGGATAGAACAACTCCTACTAGCTTTGCGGCAACCTATAACCCCTTTACAGGGATCCCTCATTTAGTTGTTGCCATTTGACTCCGCGCAGGGTCGGTCCCAATTATGAGTAATGCATGCTTGGGCGATTGTTGCTGCTTCTGTCGCGCTTTACTGGTTCATGCGAGTTGCGCTACCGTAGTTCCTACATCTAAATCCTTATATGAACCCACTCTCTTTTTGATTTTCTAGTTGTTTTCCGTGTCGTTCTCCATGATTCTATACAGGAATAGGAGCCCCTAATCCCAAAAACCCTGAACTGCATGCAGGTTTCGCGTCTTCTTTGATTCTCCATTGTAGGGGGGTAAAAAACTATACAGTATTTTCCTTTTTCTTTTCCATTATCCCAAGATAACCCCCAATATTACCCTAATAGTACCCAAACCCTAAACCCAATATTACCCTAATAGTACCCCAATGGGTACCTATATTTGATCCTCCTTTATTGGAGTCTGCCTCTCAGCTGTTCCAGGTGGTCTGATCCTCGTGGAGGTGCTGGCTACGGTCCCTCCTACCGCAAGAGCCGCGGTGTCTTCATGTTCGGCCCCGACGCAGCTCGCCCGCTTTGTACATTAAACTAACCCTAAGGCTGCAAATAGCCCAATGTAGGAAGTATTTATAGACTTTAGGGCCCAATGTAGGTATTATTTGTACACTTGGATCCCTAGGGTAACTAATTAAGCTGCATGTAATTAATGCTCTTGGGATACGTGGCATCAGCAGGTTTGCTCTTGTGCGGGCTGAGGTGTCTGACCAGTTTATCCGAGAGAACAACCTGAAGCTCGTGATCCGATCTCACGAGGCGTTCACCTTAAGGAATGCAAAAAAACTTGGACACTACCATACTATTGGAATCAAATGTTCAAAGAAGGTTTACTGTAGAGATCCATTAGGACAGATCTTTGCCCAGGTGTAGTGTGTGAATGTATGGAAGTTGCTTTCTTGATTCCATCAGGGGTTTAACCCCAAAACCCTTAACCCTAGACCCCAGACCCTAGCCCCAAAAACCCTAACTTATGGAGAAAAGGTCCCACACCAACAAAAATGAACCCTAAGTCCTCAATCCTAAACCCTAAACCTGTATCCGTCGTGCAGAAGATGCCGCAGTGTCTTGTCATGTCTTGATGCAGGTCAAGGCGGAAGGCTACCTCCAGGACAAGCCCGCAATAGCTCTTAGGGTTTAGGGTTTCAGGATGTAGGGTTTAGGGTGGAGGAACTAGGGTTTATGGTTTTGGGGATTAGGGTTTAGGGGTATCGTAGACCCCTGATTAAGGGGAGGGGGTTTATCAATTAGGGATCTGGGTTTTCTTGCTGGGGTTAGTACCCAGACCCCAAAAGGATCCAAAACAGGGACCCCCGATATGAACCCATTACTACAATGGGGAAACTAGGGGACTATTAGGGGGGTTCCATTTGTTGGATCCTTTTGGGCGTCTGGGTATGGAATGAGGGAATATGTTATAAAGGGATTACATAGGGATAATATTCCCTTATTCCCTACTCACCACCAGTAAGCTGTGCAGGCTTTTGGGATTTATACAGTCCGACAATTGAGATCGTTCAGAGTCCTTTGGGCATCGGCACACTTGCAGGATTTGCCTTCACTTTTAGGGGCTTACTGCCATAAGCTGTGTCTTTCTGCCTTGGGAGGTGACAGTGATTCAAGCGGCAGTTCCTCCTGAAGTTGTGAAACACAAAAGGCCAGTCCACATTCACATGGCCTCCAACACTACGGTTGATACTAACAATCCTACACGACCCTCAGTACACCTTGGGCATTGTGGAGTCATGTTATATCCCAGACCCCCCTACAGGATTAAAAAATGGACCATATCCCAGACCCCCGAAAGGATCAAAAAATGGACCCCCCC